CTCTCTCTCTCTCTCTCTCTCTCTCTCTCTCTCTCTCTCTCTCTCTCTCTCTCTCTCTCTCTCTCTCTCTCTCTCTTATGCCATTTTGATTCATACTATTCTATGAGTCTGTGATTTGATCTGAGGATCAAACCCAAGAAGTTGATGAGACAGAAACTTAGAAGTAAAGACTTTCAAACCGTGATATCCGACCAAACTGGTAAGAAGTTAAGTCCTGGTCTTGTGATCTAGAGATACGGTAATGACAGGAGTAGGACCAACGTTCTCACTCGAGATCTCGGAATACAGAAGCAATCTCTCAGCCACGGAGAAGGCTTCTTCCTCCTTCTTTTCCGAGGATACACCAAACGATGAGGGAGCCGGTTTATGGTCAGGAAGAACAGTGGATTACTCGTCGGAGAGTTCTTCATCTATAGGAACTCCTGGAGACAGTGAAGAAGATGAAGAAGAAAATGACAAAGAGTTAGGGTTGGCTTCAATGCGCTCTCTTCAAGATTCTCTCCCAAGCAAGTAAGTTTCATTTTACTCAAAAAATAAATAATGTTATAGTGAAGAAAAAAGAACTAATTAGGTTTCTTGATTTTAAATCAAGAAATGGTTTATCGAGTCACTACAAAGGGAAATCAAAATCGTTTGGGAACTTAGGAGAGATTGGTAGTGTGAAAGAAGTACCAAAGCAAGAGAATCCATTGAATAGAAAAAGAAGGATACAGATCTGTAAAAAGCTTGCAAGAAAGTCTTTCTACTCATGGCAAAACCCTAAGTCTATGCCTCTTTTGCCTGTTCATGAAAATGATAATGATGACGATGAGGATGAAGGAGACGATGGAGATCTGAGCGATGAAGAACGAGGAGGAGTTGTTGTTGCAAGGAGACCATCGTTCAAGAACAGAGCAATGAAGTCTATGAGTTGTTTTGCTCTCTCAGATCTGCAAGAAGAAGAAGAAGAAGATGATGAGTGATCAATAATGCATTCATGTTTTTTTTTTCTTTGTTCATAGTTTTAAAAAAAAAATTATTTGGTGGAGCGAATTAATGTTCTCTTTTTATTAATTCTGGGAATTAATTTTATATCATGTCGACTGGAGGAAATTAAATTAGTGTATTCTCCTTTCTTTCTGCTTATCTGTCTCTTGTCCTTTTTTCCCTCTCCACATTATCGATTCTCACATTTTTTATTTTATTTTAAAAGGACTAGTCAATATTTTGCGTCTAATGCTAGCTAGATAGATGTATTGGGGACTGTTGTGACAATACAAAATACATGTTTAGCTCCTACGTTTTTTGATTCTGGATTGGTTCTACTCAAGACTGGGAATCTCGAGTTTTGCATTTCCTTTTAAAGGGTAGCTGATGATGCTTATTTTAACATCGGTCTAGAAAGCATTGTGTATATGGATGTTTCTGGTATGAATTCTAATTTAGGAATCCATTACCTAGACAATATCCTTAGCTTTGTTTTTCTGCTGGTTCATATTTGGATGTTTGAGACTAAGTTTTACCAAATTTAATTTGCATAGTTTTGTAAAGTTTAAGTTGTAAGGCTTATGTTTTCCTTTTTGCATTTCTGTTTATGGAGAAATTATGTATTATGTCAGTTTATGTACTTTACCATATATTTTAGTTAATAATATTTTTCGATCATTCATAATTTTGGCATAGGTAAACTTTTTGACAGCATAAAATAAAAATATCAAAAAGGTAGAATCAAATGACAACTAGTTTATGTGGATAATATATCGGTAGATTAGAACATATTGATAAAGGTGAATTAGTCTTTTTGGTCAAGTAACTATATGACGTTTAAAGTATTTGATTCTGTGGGAAAGTGTGGTTCTCTTTGTTTCCAATTTTTGGGGAGTTTAAAGGAGATTAGAAACACATGAAAACTCTCTGTAATAATTGGTTTTCAATGTAAGGCTGGTATAAATACTAAAGATTACAAACAATCAAGACTTCTTTATACAATGTAGAATTGTAGATCGGTCAAAAACCTCATTTTCAGTCGTCTTAAAGAAATAAAAGACAACTTTCTAATTGCATAAATGCTGAGGGCGGGGAAAATAAATGTTGTTACTGAAACGAGAGACGTGCACCCTCTTATTTTTGCTCTTCTTTGTCACAACAGCGATTGCTTATTAGATCTCATTATCCGACAACTGTTGGGAAAAAAGAAAGAAGAGGCTACGGACTAGTACGAACACGAGGTACTAAATTCCACTAAACTTGTGTCCTGCCATTTGTGTTTGTTTTGTTAAAGTTAAGGAACTCTCATGTGCGTGGGGCAACCTTCCTCATTGAAACGCCACTACAAACTTGTATCATTTGAAGTCATACATTGATCTGTGTAAGATATAAAATGTAGGTTCAGTAGCATATGGTAACTATTACTTGTAAGTTATTTACCTTTTTTTTATTCCTAAAGAAAGGTTTGTATTTACATTTCCCAAAGTCACTTGGATAGAAATTGATAACACTTACTTGACCATCACATGTATCATATTACTAAGAGAATGAAAATAGGTTTATATAGAAAAATATCACTAACACATCAGAACTAAAACCGAATATTCATTAGCAAAATCGAACAAAAAATATGTCTGACCCAAAATTACAATACAAAGAGCATGTCCATTGAGATATTTTAGGGGGTCCATGGATTCAATTTCCTAGAAAAATCAATTAAAATATAATAAATTTTGTGAATCCACTCTTTGCAGGTTCACTACGACGAGCTGGTATCATGAGAATCTTACGGGCCCCATAACATGTGACGACTCGCGATTGGTCTGATTATTTTTATTATTTAAAAAAAAAATAAACGAAAATTTTTTTAAAAAAAAATAGAAAAATAAAAGCTATGAGCCCCCTACCCAAATTCACTAATGGGAGTGCTCTAATGACTAAACCATGAACCCACATTGCCACTATATGATGACCCTTCTTTCACGTTGAATATTACTGAACCATAACAAAGCTTTCCTGGTGAATGTAAACTATCAAATATCAATTTTTGTAACTATTAGTTACCCTTCCTCCTTTAAGCCTAATATATAAATAGCCGCTTTAAGCAACAATTGCATCCAAAGAATAAGTGCTCCAAGCTCTCAGCTTCACATCCTGATGTCCATTAAGCCATTAGGTTTTGCATCATAAAGAAATATAATCTCTTGGAGTTAATTAAAGTAGCTAGTATTAAACTAATTTAAAACAAAGAAAGAGATATGGGCTTGTTCTACTTCCATGGAGCTCATCGTTGATCGCTTCCATGGCATCAATCTACATGTCATCCACTCGTTCCATTTTCTTGTTCATTCACTCTCTCCATCTCGATCCTTAAAATCAAAGAATATAAAGTTGACAAGAATATAAACTATTCTAACGATCGATTCAACTTAGGGGAGGGGATTTTAGAGATGAAATACTAATTAAAGTGTAACAAACACACGATTCATACCTGAAACACATATTTACCTGTCTTCATATTAGAGGAGATTGGGTTGTTGCTAATGATGGGCCGTGGTGGGCTGGCTTACGAATTAGTGTTTTTGAGGCTAAGCCATAAAACTGGATTAACACGACCTCTAAATTTCGTACTTTTGTTTATATCTTTGTCTTTCGTTTATTTATTTTAACTTCAGACTATCTGGAAGAACCTCTATCACATTTACTATGGAAAACATGCCTACAACTTATACACCGTTAAACTTAGATAAATTAATATACCTTTTTAGTTCAAAAATAAATAAATATATATACTATATAGCACCGCCGCAAAATTTCATGCTTTTCGTTTATTAATTGGTCTCTCGTTTATTTAGTTTTAACTTTAGACTTATCTGAAATAACCTCTACCTCATTCACTATCGAAACATGTCTAAAACTTACATACCGTGAAAATTAGATAAATCCCAAAGAAATATGAGATTGATGTTAAAAGCCCTTTTCAAAAAAAAAATATGAGATATGATGTCGATCAGAAAGAACAAATTTTAAGAGTGATATACCTTTTAGTTCAAAATAAATATATAATCCGAGAAGATAAAAAATAAAGAGCATTATTGATGCCCATTAGATATGATCGACTACTACATATATCTATTTTTGTTTTGCCTCTGTATTTATACATTTAAAATGCACATTGTATATGACCAACCTTTTATTATGTTGTAGTATAATACTATCAACTAGTCAACTTGCAAACCAAAAGAACGCAAGGGGGGTGGGGAATCAATCAATGACAGCTTTTCCTGTATTATTAAACTAGATCGAATCTTGTTATGGCCTTATCCATTTTGGGTAAGACCCCCATATTCTCGTTCTCAGATCTTTCCTCAATTTCCCACTTCCCTAATCAAATCTTTGGATTTTATATTGACCACTTTTTCATGAATATTAAATATATTTCTTTTACTTAATGGAGAGCATGATAGACCCGACAAATTCAACAGTTCTTATATGTCTACATTTTTATTGTTTATTAGTTAATTGAGTTGCTTCTCCTTGGACATGCCTGGTCTCGATCAACTTGAATCTCACAACTGTTATTTGTCCCGACAAACAGAAAGAAGATAGAATCATACGTAAATGCATATGATCATTTGACGCGTAAATATAAGTTAAAATTGGGCGTATCTTATAGAGAAACTCAATTCATAAAAAAGGAAAATTATGTCGACTGAAATTAATGAAGAGTGTGGTATGAGTCGTATGACCGTTCTGAGTCCATGTGCGTGAAATTAAACGTTAGTAGAGACGCAAGTAATTGTAACGTGCCTGTGAGATGCATTCTTTCTCTCCTCGGTACTTGTCATGGTAATTTTCCTTTTTCTAAAGGATATTTTGTTGAATTTAATAAACGGGAGTAAAAGAGTGATTAAAATACAGAACTACGAATAACAATAGAGCACTAGAGACAAATAAAAGATGATAATAAAAGCGAAAAAGATTTCATGATATTTTACAACAAATTTTACCTTTTTCTGTTAATAGGTGATATGTTTTTATCTTTAAAAGAATTTCAAGTTAGCATTTGTAGTTCAAAGTTAGTGAAGTAAGCTTTTGTTCAGGGAAAAACTTGTTGAAGTAATATTTAACATTATGCAAGAAATAGTGTTCTTTAGAGCGAACAAAAATGTATATATACACTTAGACATGGCATTAATTAAGTAAATTTCATTTTTGAAAATAGACTATATATAGTTTTTTTTTAATCAAATATATAGATTTATTAACTCCCTCTCTCATGTCTTCTAGATAATTTATTGGTATTGATGTTCAAAATGTAGTGTTTCAAAACAAAAAAAATATTGCTATTGATGTTCTTTCATATATATTTTTATCTTGCCACGAGTTTTCGTTGGTATTCGCTTATGACGAGTTACCATCTTTATAATATATATTCACTACATGTAAAAAAATGAAGATGGAAGCTTGCACGCAAGGAAAGAAAAAACAACTAATTAAACGTAAACTGGTAAGGATGAAATATAGTAGACATTAAGTTATCAAAAAAAAAAAAAAGTAGCCATCAAGTTATAAATATTCAATAAATTATTAATTTTACAATAGAGTTAAGAAAATAAAGCAAACGAACAAATTAAATGTAAAATCACAACAAAACTAGCTACTCCAAAAATCATCGGATATACAAGAACGGTGGCATGTTTGTTCTTGCAATATCCGGTGTCTAAAAGAAAAGAAAAGAGGATACGATAGGAGCATGATGTTAACGCACGTAACTAAAAAGCTGAAACATGTTAAAGAGGAAAGTGATGATGAGTGTCATCGTTAAAATGCGTACAAAGATTTGGATTTATGATTGCCTGACTAAAATCTTTATTACATTTCTACTTTTGTCGGCCCACAGTCCCTTAGATTACAAAACCCGACAACGCAAATTTCAACATATTCCACAAATTTCGGCTTCTTTTCTGCTTCTTTTCTTCATCACTT